CCMCCYWYSTTTKYTKTYKKTTKKKTTKTTTTTTTTTAMGAAACAAAGCAGTGTTTTCACAAGACAAGCAATCTTGTCCTGACAGAAGGGCACATGGGTTCTCCTACTTTCACCAGTTATGTTTGTTTYCTCACAATATAAATTGGTAGTGTAATTGCTTATTTCTGCAGCGTAAAATTAGTGCAATTAAGATGATTTTGTTCTCTGGCTCTATTACCTACTGTATTTTACTTGGACTAATGGAGAAAGCAGAAATTTCACCCTGCAGGTGATATTTTGTACATCTTGYAATATATGGCAGATGCTGATTATTGAGGCTGTAAAAAGGGAGAATTGGATATTAGAGRAGATAAATAAGAGTGGGGGAGGGGACTGAAGGGGAAAGACAGTATTTGCAAAGACCTCGAGGTAAGCTGCTTTCAATGTACTGTTTAAGCTTTAATGACCCATATAGAGATTCTAGCAACAAAGTAATGGCCAGCTAGAGGAATTAAAGGCCTCAGGTGATGATCTGAACAGCAAAAGCTGAGAGAGGTTGTAAATACTGTAACAGTTCGACAGAGGCTCTGCTAGGAGGCAGTTTTTATGTTCCTATTGTCTGTGAATGTGTGGTTGTTCAATAASCTTTGAGGAAAGAGCTGGTAAAATCTCAGTTGCTTCAGGTGAATTGTTCTCAGGGTTTCCCCAGTTTAAAAGTTCTTGCTTCTGTTAGAAGGTACCTTTCTAAACAGTTTTTATCTTTTGTTTGTATCCATACCTTTTTCCAGTAGCAATTTTTCATATTCTTTAAGAAAAAGCCCAACATATCCAAATCTCTTTGAGCTTTAGCTCCAAGAAATTCTTCTAGGTCTAAGATGAGGATTCCATGACAATTGCACATGGCTCTTCCTTTTGGAAAAAAGGCTTCTATTTAATTTGTGGAGTGTTAAAAGTTGCTTGACATGCATGGATCACATGTTTAAAATTCTTATTTGTCATTCCAGTAGCTGCTTTATAGCTCAGTGGCAACCAAATCAGACCACAGGAAAGATTCCTCTGTGCTAGCTCTCTAAATAGAGTGAGCTGTGGAGTGCAGACCAAAACAAAGTTCTCTTGAAACTTTTCTTCTCACCCCTTCAGCCAGGTTGTAGGGCTGCCTTGTTCTTGCTCACAGAGCTTCCTTGCAGGTTTGCAGTCCTGCCATCATGATGTCTTTGATGATACTCACTTTGAAGCAGCTTTATGGTGATTTTCCCCTTTGCTCTGCCTTCACTGCCTCTGCCTAGGATGAACTCCACAGTTTTGCTGCCAAAAATGCTCGTGGAGGAGCACTGATGCAGCCAGATGCCATGTTGCTTTTGTGTTGCTTCCTAGAGTGATTAACTTGTCAGATTGATCTCCTAAAGACCACTATGAGAGATGATATGTACTTGTCTTAATTCAAAGCCAGATAACCCCTGGAGTTACCTCAGCCTGATGGAAATCCCTGAATAAGACAGCAAGGGGTAACACTGCTGTGGAAGCTCTGTAGTTTCCATTTTGCRCAGTAAAGGATTGAGACACACATTTGGTCTTTCATTTATTTTCTTTGACAAAAGTAGAAGGGTGACAGAAGAAAGTTCCACATTATTCAGTTTAGAAATATGCCATTCATTTGCATGTCTTTGTATCTATTATTTACTTGCTRGGGTGACTGATAGTCCTGCTCAGATGCATGCATGAGATGACAAGGCACCAACGACAGAATGACATTGGTAACAACACATGGCTTGTCAGCATATATTGCTAAAATATGCCATGTCTTGTGGAACATTAAATATGTAATATGGAATGAACATTAAATATGTATTATGTTGTAAAAAAAAATAGTGAAGGAGATTACGTGAAAGTTCACTAGATAAGTCTTTATTTGTCTTTTCTRAAAACATGAGCTAGTACCATTAAAGATATAATGAGAAAATACCTTGTATTTATTCTCATGGGTGAATACAAATGATTCCATTAAATCTGTATTACGTTTGGGAGAAAGGAGAATTATTGCTTAAAAACATAAGACTTCAAAGGGTCTAAGATGCTGCACTTTATTTAGACAGCAACTTGGTTGTGCTGGATAGGAGAGATTATGTTTTGAAAAAGAATGCTTGCCTTTTGTCTGAGACAAAAAATATTACCTTTGAGTGTAGTAGTGCTCTTKGTGTCTGGTTGCTCAGACATGAGTGTTTCACTTGGAGGAGGCTGCGTAAGGAAAGCCTCTCTTTGTCCAGCTCATTTTGGCCTCTGAGTGAGGTTGAGTTTGACCAGCAAGGTGGAGAAAATAGTATTGAATGGGAAGGTGTGATCACCAAAAATGGGATGTGTGGAACTCATGAACAAAGAGGATACTTCTATCGGTTGTCACRTTATGAAGCTCATTTAAGTCACTAAAAGAAGAACGTCAATCAATATAAAATATCTGGATCCTTTTTAAGATAACATGTGTGTTTTGCTTTTCAGCTTCTCTTTTGAAAGGATTGAAACACGCAAACATTGTGCTGCTTCATGACATCATTCACACCAAGGAGACCTTGACACTTGTGTTTGAATATGTGGTGAGTAAAGAAACTGTATGTTCTGGGTAGGGTCCAGAGTGTATTGAATTTTATGGAAATTCTCTCTTTACCATCAATGATCTATGAATCAGGACAAAATAACCCTTTGCTTTCTTCAGGAGAGTGATGGCTATAAGAGATGAAGCTTTGTAGTGGAGTGGGCTAAAAGTGGAAAGCTGGGCTAAAAGTGGAAAGCTGGGCTAAACCAGAACCAGAGATGGAGAAGTGGCTGCTAGGGCTCCTAAAGGATCTTGTACTGTTGGGTTGACTTTTCAAACCTACTCTGCCTCACAGTTATCGTTTGTTTATTGGAGCTTTTTCTTTATTGATGTGATCAGGTAAATCAAAAAAGTGGAAAATAATGTAAGGAAGAAGAACAGTACAGAAATGCTTAATGGATAGCTGTGAAAAGCATATATCAAGTTTAAATGGCTTTTTTCATGATTGGCTTGTGCAGAGTGTCTATTTATAAACAATGTCAGTTAAAAAAAAAAAAGTCTGGTGAATGCCGTTTAGATTTTGGATTTTTTTTTTTTTGCCATGACTAATGCTTTACCTATTAATTAAAACTTCAATTTACATAGTAGGCAGTGTAAGGATCTAATTGTGTTGAGAGTATTACTTTCCAAAGTACTGGCCTTGGCCTCCTAATTAATCTTTTYAGTTTTTCTAAGACAAACATATGGCATTTATGTCGAACTCTGTTAGCATTTAGCTGTGGAATTATGCAATGTACTATCATAATTAACCTCCCAGTTTTCACAGATGGGCCCAAGAACATGTAATTTAAAAGAAACAAATGAGTTTAGAGACAGTTAGTTTTTCAGTATTATATCAATTATTGTGTTGTCTGTAAGACATTGCATTTATAAAGTACAGGGATTGCTAGTGTTACTCTAAATACATCTCTGCTTAAGACAGATGGAATTGTTTTGTGTATTTCTTGGGGGCAGGCCTTAATTTTTACATGATAATGCACACAGCATCACAGAATCATGCCTGGACAAGCCGTTCACCTTGTGTAWTTACATAAAAGTGCTACACTGTGAGGGTGTGGGTATTCAGCTGCAGAATGTTTGATACAGTATGTATTTTTACCTCAGGTATTGGTACAGCAATAAAAATTTAATTCCTTTTCTTAAAATCAGTGATTTTCCTGATGCTGACTTACACACTGAATCAGCATAGGAAAAGCCTTGATACTTAATTTTATGCAATGGCCTGTGTACACTTATTTGCATATTTTTACATGAACACATTTTGCAGTCCCACTTAGCAGCAGCTGTATTTAGCTGTATTCTTCAGAACTGGTTGAGAAATTAGATGTATGGAATATGTTTCTCCCTAAAATAGATGTTTTGCSTATTATGCTAATTTCAAATTTCTGGATTTTACATTTTTGTTTATTACACTGATGCAGATTTCTGGATTTTATATCCAGGAAGGTTGTTTAGACTCTGGCTCCCAGCCATGAGTTGTATCATGGTGTACTGTCCATGGTCAGTGCAGACACAGATTAAGCTTCATGCAGTGGCACATTGTTCTGGGTTCCCTTAGCTCCATTTCCTTAGAATGGGATTTTCAGCAAGGGACCAGCCCTGCTGGTGGTTGCACCTTTTGGTTCCCATGCTGTTTGGTAGCCATTGAGACTGTTTCAGAATCTAATTTAGCAATGGTTTCCAACTGTKCCAAGTAAATTTTAGTGTTTAGGCTGGTGAGCAGTCTCTCAAGGTGATGCTCTGGAAGAAGGGAAGGATACTTTATTCTCTCCAAACTGCCTAAACACTTGRTAATATTGACTTTTAACATGTTCCTGCGCTTGAGATGACAGAATTGCTTAAAAAGAGTCACTTTTCATTGAGTGCCTTTCATTCAATGTAAAGTTATAGTCTGATTAAGCAGCTAATGCTCTCTGATAACACTTGAGAATGCCCAATAACCTGAACTCAGTTCTTGTGGGTGTGCACGATACAGGTTTTAATTGCATGATTGCAATGTTCTCATTTGTTCCTTTTGTTAAAAAGCTTCCATTCAGTGCACAGTATGAATGTGTRGAGGCAAAAATTACAATTGTCCATTTAAATGTACAAATTCTGGCTGGTTGAGTATGCAATCTAGATGTGTAATTGCTGTTACTTAGCTCTGTATCTGTAATGTCTGGTTTGTTGTTATTTTAACACCTGTGCGTGGTTTAGCTCAATCATATGAGCAATTTGCACTGAAATAAGTAAAAATATTCATGTGATTAAAATTCCATGGTGGTAATTTTATGTATGTTTCTCAATGACTGAAACCTAACAACCTAGAAGGGATTGAATTTGATTTATTTCACAAAGTAACATCATGGAACTGATACACTATTGCCATTGATCACTATTGACTTTTTCAAACATAGTAAAAGACGTTTGAGTGAGATGTCATGACTAAATTAGGAACAARCAGTTAGTGATCCTAGAGTTCTCAGAAAATGGAAACTTTGAGTTATTAGGTTGGTGATGATTCCATTGGGAAAACAATACTGGTGAAACATCTGAGGTTATCGGAGGTGTTTGGTTTCAGCATTGACCCTGAAAGAGTAGAATGAAATTTAATTTCATGTAGCACCTTTCATTGTAAAATGCATTACAGTAATAAGTTAAAAGCTGAAAGCAGAATAGCCTCTGAAACAAAACATGGCAGTCATTAAATTCTCTGAGTCCTTCAAATTAGCTTTTTAATATGTATGTCTGTCAGATAAAAAMGGCAGTTTTTTAACTTTAACCTTGGTGGTCTGCAAAGCCGAGAAAAGTCAGTCATTAAAAATTCTGTCTGAAAGTTGAAGACCAGGAGAAATTAATTCTCCATACAAACATTTTGGTGGTGAATGTGGAGCTGTATTTGCTGTGGAAGACAATAAAGGGAGCTTGCTTGCTTCTTTTGAACAAAAGAACTTGAAAATAGTTTAAAATACAGTACCTTGTTAACTTTTGTGTTCTTTGCTAACTTTTACATCAGCATATTGTACAGGTTGCTTAGAGCTCAGTTTTATCATGGGGTGACTGAGAACCATTGCTTATTACCTGGGGAGTTTTGAGCTGCTTAGAATTTCCTCTACAAAGCCTSAATGTCTGATAGTCTTTTGTGTATAGAATGGTAAAGAAAATTATTTCTGTATAGTTAACTGGGATATGCCAAACAAGACCTGAAAACTAGATTTTGAYACATTTGCATATGTTGTCTGAGAGTGCAGTGACTTCCCAAAGTAAAAGGTCAGTTCAGCTTTAAGTTCAGTGGAGGAGTGTGACTGTTCCCACAGGCTTTGTTCCCTTCTTCGCCAGGCTCTGTTCAGGTGTTAATTTAGATAATCTTAGAGGATGGTGGCTTTAGTGCAAGTGTCACTGATACAGCCAGCTTTGCCCAAGAAGGTCTGAATTTTACAGGAGAGATCTCAGTCATATTGAGAGATCTCTGAGGATGGGCTCACATCTGTTTGCTCTAAAATGATCATTGTTGCTACCGTCTGTTTCTTGGCTTGTTTGTTTAAAAGGAAGATGACTGAATTTAGAAACATTTAATTGCTAAAAGGCAATCCTAAGCAATACGTATTTGCTACAGGCTTCGTAAAATGATAATGAGGTTTTTAGTATTATGCATAATTATATAAGTATATTATTATCAATAAATGAACCRGCAGCTCGTCCTATTCCTGGCAAGTGAAAGTGAGCTTATGTAGCACTACTTTACATCGTGCTTTCAATATTTATGAACTAGGTTTGCAACAAGAACAGATACTTATAATTGGGAGGATGAGTAATGAGCAATATTATGTCTGCCTCAACAGTGAAAAAGCTCCAGACTAATCTAATAATGTAATTTAAACCCAAGCATTTGCAATTACCTTACCAATTTTAATATTGTATGTTAATAGTGTATGTTTTTCCTTCCAGAAATTACTTTCCATTAAAGAAGAAAGTTTGATTCTCATTGCTTCATTACARCAGCTAAAATAAGTTGTTATACAATGAGTTTACTTAATAGTTCATTACATTTCACTCCCATTTCCTGTAAAAAAATAGATGAGAGTTTCTCATTTTAAAACTCACTGGAAATTGACATATATACTCTGTATCAGAACTACCCAGCTGAGATTTTGAATTTGTCTTGGGACAAATTTGTCTTACRTAATACTTACGAAGTATTATGTAAGAAAATGGGCAAAATGCATTCTCTGCAAGGGTCAAAAAATTTTTCAGTGAAAAATTTCAATTTCTTCTAACTTGATAATTTGGATCAAACACTATCACACTATTACACTATTATACTATTACACTATTACTATTACACTATTACTCTATTACACTTTATTACATTATTACACTATTACGCTATTACATGATTACACTGTTTTCCATTTCTATTTGTTTTAATTAGGTAACAAGTATTGAAACTAAAGCTAGGATGGCATTGATTGTTTGTGAGAACAARCCAAAATAGCCACAATTTTTTGTGGGTGAGAGTGCAGGGAAAATCAGTAGCGTCCCAGAGCTGCTTTTGCACTCTTGTCACTGGGATCCTTCGGTGGTGTGTGATACCTAGGAAGGAACTGGGCAATAGAAGGAAGGAGTCTTCTAGTCCTTGACTGAGAGTGAAACTTCTTTGGAGGCTTAACTACATTATTTTTGTGTGAAAGTGAAATGATTGGTGATTTTATTCACATTTGAAAAAAGGGTGCCTGTCTAGGTATGGTAAGCAAGGGCTGAAGTTTAGGGAAGCTCTGCAGCAAGCCAGGTGCCTGCAGTCACCTCTTGGCAGACACCCTTGGTTACTGTGAGAGTGTTTGTCCTCTCTGGGAAGGAGCAGAGCCACTGAGGGCTCCCAGCATGGGAGCAGTTGACTTTAGTAGTTTTCATTTACCTTGACCAGAGAAGGAGCTGTTCCCCTGTAGTTTAACCCCTGCCTTGTGCCCCGGGTTTGCCTCGGGTCACATTGCTTGGATTACAATCAAAAAGGTGACACAACAA